CTAAAATCAAACTAAGTTTAATTTTGGACCCTTTGGACCTTAATGTAGACCAATTTAAAAAACGGGACTTAAAATTAAAAATCTAAATACACGGTTAGATTTGGAATATCAAAGAACCCCAATAATTCAATTTTTGATGAAATCAAACAAAGTTTAATTTTGGACCCTTTTGACCTCAATATGAACCAATTTGATAGGGGGGCCCACAAATAAAAATTCTTAATGCATGGTTAGATTCAGCATATCAAAGAACCCCATATATTCAATTTTTGTTGAAATCAAAAAAAGTTTAATTTTGGACCCCAACTTGGACCAACTTGAAAACTGGGCCCATAATCAAAAATCTAAACACATGTTTAGATTCAGCATATCAAAGAACCCCAAGAATTCAATTTTTGTTAAAATCAAACTAAGTTTAATTTTGGACCCTTTGGACCTCAATGAAGACCAATTTAAAAAACGGGACCCAAATTAAAAATCTAAAAGCACGGTTAGATTTGGCATATCAAAGAACCCCAATAATTCAATTTTTGATGAAATCAAACAAAGTTTAATTTTGGACCCTTTTGACCTCAATATGAACCAATTTGATAGCGGGGCCTACAAATAAAAAATCTAAATACATGGTTAGATTCAGCATATCAAAGAACCTCATATATTCAATTTTTGTTGAAATCAAACAAAGTTTAATTTTGGACCCCAATTTGGACCAACTTGAAAACTGGGCCCATAATCAAAAATCTAAATACATGTTTAGATTCAGCATATCAAAGAACCCCATATATTCAATTTTTGTTGAAATCAAGCAAAGTTTAAATACTGGACCCTATCTTGGACCAACTTGAAAACTGGGCCCATAATCAAAAATCTAAACACATGTTTAGATTCAGCAAATCAAAGAACCCAAAGAATTCAATTTTTGTTAAAATCAAACTAAGTTTAATTTTGGACCCTTTGGACCTCAATGTACACCAATTTAAAAAACAGGACCCAAAATTAAAAACCTAAATACACGGTTAGATTTGGAATATCAAAGAACCCCAATAATTCAATTTTAGATGAAATCAAACAAAGTTTAATTTTGGACCCTTTTGACCTCAATATGAACCAATTAGATAACGGGGTCCACAAATAAAAAATCTAAATACATGGTTAGATTCAGCATATCAAAGAACCCCATATATTCAATTTTTGTTGAAATCAAACAAAGTTTAATTTTGGACCCCAATTTGGACCAACTTGAAAACTGGGCCAAAAATCAAAAATCTAAATACATGTTTAGATTCAGCATATCAAAGAACCTCATATATTCAATTTTTGCTAAAATCAAACAAAGTTTAATTTTGGACCCTTTGGACATTAATGTAGACCAATTTGAAAACTGGACCCAAAATTAAAAATCTAAATACACTGTTAGATTCGGCATAACAAATAAATAAATGTGATCAAAGATTTTACAAATCTAATGCGCCATACTGTGCAATTAAAGATTACTTCTTGAAATTTTTCAATATTTGAAATTTGAAAAAAAAATAATATTTGAAGAATAATTCTTTTTAATTTCTGAAATCTGAAATGAGAAAAAATTGGCCCCCCACAATTTCTTTTTATTCCCCCCCCCCCCCTTTTTCCCCCAAAAATATTCTTTCCCTCAAGATATGGTCATAATCTCAATTCAAATTTCCAATGGAGTTGGCAACCATAATTACCCATTTAAATTTACCATAGTGCTAACTTAATCTATTTTATAATAGAATTAATAAAAATATAGTGTCAAATCTTTCATATGGATTTTTTTGTAAAAAAAAAAGATGAAAACATTTGCAGATATTTTTACTGGTCTTCCTTTATAAATATGCATTTCTTTAAACATAATTTAAAAGCAGTGTAAGGGAAGTAACCAAAACGTTGTATTTGGATTACCTCCCTTACACTGTTTTAGATTATCTTTATTGTTCATTAACCATTACTTTATACATAATTTAAAAGCAGTGTAAGGGAGATAATTTCAATGATGTATTTGATTTATCTCCCTTACACTGCTTTAAATTATGTTTTGTACTAAAGTATTTGTCCATTAACCAGGACAACCTTGTTTTTCCCCCTTTTTTGCCCCTAATTCCTAAACGGTTTGAGCCATAACCCCCCAAAGCAAATCCTAACCATCCCTTTGTGGTATGGAAACTTGTAGTATAATTTCAGAGAGATCCATACACCGTTCCACAGTTATTGTCTGGAAACTAGAAAATGCTCATTTTTGGCCCCTAATTCCTTAACTGTTGGTACCATAACCCCCAAAATCAATCCCAACCTTCCTTTTGTGGTATTTAACCTTATGGTCAAATTTCAAAAAGATCCATTTACTTAAACTAAAGTTAGAGTGCGAAAACCAATATGTATTCGGACGACGACGCTGGACGACGACGACGACGACGCCGGACGACGACGACGACGACGACGCCAACGTCATACCAATATACGACCACAAAATTTTTTTGCGGTCGTATAAAAACTTAATACACGGTTAGATTCAGCATATTAAAGAACCCCAAGAATTCAAGAATAAAACCCCATTGAAATTGATCAAGAAATAAGCAATTTATACGAAGTATCTTCTTTTGCACAATACTGTGCAATTGAATATTTCTTGCTATTGCGCAATACTGTACAATTGACAATTTCTTGCTATTGCGCAATATTGTGCTATTGGATATTTCTTGCTATTGCGCAATACTGTGCAATTGAAGATTTCTTGCTATTGCGCAATACTGTGCAATTGAAGATTTCTTGCTATTGTGCAATACTGTGCAATTGAAAATTTCTTGCTATTGCACAATACTTATTATATAATAATTTACACATCCTGTTTGGTGTGTATCTCCTACCATATCATTATTATTTGCTTTTAAATATAAATCAGAAATAACCAACTTAAAATGGAAAATTTTAAAAGAAAAAAAAAAGGAAAAAAAGAAAAAAAAAAAAAAAAAAAATCCCCCCCCAAATTTTTTGAACCCCCTTATGATTCATCACCCCCAAACTCAATCCCAGCCTTCCCTTTGTGGTATGGTACTTTGCAGTACAATTTCAGAGAGATCCATACACTTGAACACAAGTTATTGTCTGGAAACTAGAAAAATGCTTATTTTTGGCCCCTTTTTGGCCCCCAATTCCTAAACGTTTCGGGCAATTACCCCCAAACTCAATTCCAGCTTTCCCTTTGTGATATGGAACCTTGTAGTACAATTTCAGAAATATCCAAACACTTACACACAAGTTATTGACATGAAACTAGAAAAATGCTTGTTTTTTGCCCCTTTTTTGGCCCCTAATTCCTAAAATTTTGAGGCAATTACCCCCAAAATCAATTACAGCCTTCCCTTTGTGATATGGAACCTTGTGGTACAATGTCAGAGAGATCCATACACTTACACACAAGTTATTGTCTGAAAGTTACAAAAATGCTTATTTTTGGCCCCTAATTCCTTAACTGTTGGTACCATAACCCCCAAAATCAATCCCAACCTTCCTTTCGTGGTATTAAACCTTATGGTGAAATTTCATGGAGATCCATTCACTTAAACTAAAGTAAGAGTGCGAAAACCAATGTGTCTTCGGACGACGCCGGACGACGACGACGACGCCAACGTCATACCAATATACGACCAAAAAATTTTTAATTTTTGCGGTCGTATAATAATACAACACTAACAAAGGCTAGAGGCTCCTGACTTGGGACAGGCGCAAAAATGCGGTGGGGTTAAACATGTTTATGAGATCTCAACCCTCCCCCTATACCTCTAGCCAATGTAGAAAAGTAAACGCATAACAATACGCACATTAAAATTCAGTTCAAGAGAAGTCCGAGTCTGATGTCAGAAGATGTAACCAAAGAAAATAAACAAAATGACAATAATACATAAATAACAACAGACTACTAGCAGTTAACTGACATGCCAGCTCTGTATGCATGTTGTGGTTCTGAGCATTGTGTATGAGTTTCATTAAACTTGCATGAGGCAAACTAAAGTTAGAGTGCGGAAACAAGAATGGGACTGACGGAAGGACAGTCAAGGTCACTGGATGCCCCCGATGCCTACTTCTATGGGGACATAATTGAAATTAATGGGGAATGTGTCCATGGGACACAGATGATGCCCCCTTGCATATCATATAAAGTTATAAAGGCACATAACTGAAGATCGGTAAAAGTGACGCTACCCAAATTTGTATGTTTATAAAGGGGCATAACTCAAGAACAGTAAAAGGGATGCCACCAAATTTTGAACTTGATCTGTATTATGTGGTTGTAAGCATAGTGTATAAGTTATATAACATTTGGTTGAGGCAAACTAAAGTTAGAGAACGGAAACTAAAAATTTTGCAATTTTTCCATTTATAAAGGGGCATAACTCTAGAATGGTTAAAGTGACGCCACCAAAATTCAAACTTGATCTGTGTTTTGTGGTAATAAGCATTGTGTATAAGTTTCATAACATGTGGTTGAGGCAAACTCAAGTTAGAGAACGGAAACCAATTTTGGGACGTACGTACAGACGTACAAGGGTAAAACTTAATGCCCCCACCGCTACAGCGGGGGCATAAAAATCAATGTTTTACAGCCTACAACCGTACAACGTAATGATGTTACGATTTATTTCAACATTTTGTGTTACTTTTTCACATAGGACACCATTTTGAATGATGTATACAAAGTCAGTGACCCTATTATTATTTTACATCATTAAATCGGAAATTTATGTACCAACAAAATTTATGTACCAACAAGTAGTTTTTTTAAGAAAAATATATGGATTTTAAATCAGAGATTTGATGATTGTAAGACAAATTTAAGAACATTCTTCGACAATTTTATGTACTCTCTATACAAATGTTCACCTATTTCAAAAGAATTCAATCAGACATATTTCAGAAAATAAAACAGATAAAGCATTATTTTTTTTTCGAGTTTTTGTAATTTGACCTCCAACAATACTTACTTGTCATCATCATCGTCTTCATCATCATCGTCATCATCATCAACACCTTCATTATCAAGGAAATCAAGGGTAGCAAGAACAGACTTTTCACTTTCCATAAAGATATCATCCACTAATGAAGCAGGCACTTTCTTACCAGCAGGCCTAAGAAGGCAAAAGAAGAAATCATTCCAGCATGCTGATATTGAAGGGAAGATAATTTATGCAGACATGGTGTATACATGTTTGTTTATTGCAGAAGTGAAACTGCTCACCATTTACATTCTAGTATATTTTATTGATTTTTTATCAAGTTCTTTTCATTTTAATGCTTACAGCACATTCAAAGATAGAAAAAAAGCTAAATACAGTTATATAAGAAAGAAAAATGTAAAAATTGCTCTTTAGATATGAAATAAAGTTTCATTAGTTTTACATGCATGTGATATCAATAATCACTTTAGAGTATTCAAGCAGTAGACAATCAAGTGCATTATTTTTTTTTCAAACAATGAAAAACACTATGTGATAAATTAATGGTAAACAATTCTTTTATAGTGTAAGCAGGATAAAAATATAAAGGAAATCTAATATAGCAGCTTTTACCATTAAAGATCATAAACAGGGCTTCCAAAATTATTTTTAGCCAGCCAGACATTTTATAAATTACTGTAAATTCAGAAATTATTGCGATGTTTTTATTATTGCGAAAAATGTGACAGGGTTATAATCGCAATAATTTGAACTCGCATTTTGAAATTTTGTATATGAATTAAACAGGATTTTTCTCAATATCGCAAAAATTAAAATCGCATTTTAGTCTAAAATGAGAAAATCGCAATAATAAATGCACGCAATAATTTCTGATTTTACAGTATCCCGATTTAATCCCTTAAGACTAAATAAACAAAAGGCAATTATGGTAATCAGTTGCCGAGTTGGCATTCCCAATGATTGACATTAAAAAAAAAATGATATTAAACTTTCTTTGATTCAAATTCCAAGTTCTGACGTAAACTGTTAAATTGGCAGTGCATCATTTGAAGTGTGCAACATCAGCGTACTTATACCTGCCTTAGACTTTTTATTTGTGCAAAAAAACGTTGACAAAAACTTTACTTTCGTTTTTAAATCTAATACCGGATGTTATCTTGACAATGGTAAAACATGGACCAGAGACGGATATGTAAATTCCGTGTATGTTTGCAAAGCATGAATGAGTGTAAGTACTCTTTCTACGTTATTTCTTCAAGAAAATATTCAAAATAAACATGAGATAAAGGTATCAATGACAATTCAAGCATTTTTTGAAGAAATTAGGATGCATAATTAAATTTCACACCTGCGCACATGTGCACACGTGTACTAGTTCAAACAACGTGGTTATGACGATTTTTCATTTTTACCTTTTTAATTTTTTCATCAAATCATATTTGTAAACGTATTTCTGATAATTTAAATCTTTTTGACTAAATTAATTAGATGCAAACCGCTGAAATGAAAGAAAATAAATTTGAACAGACCGATCAATGTTCGGTTCAAAATAGTTTACCTGTCACCTGAACAGGTAAATTTCAGCTGTTCGACAACTAATTAGCCTTGATTAAAATGAGAAGGTATTAAAGTAGGGGTTGTTTTGATAGTACTTAATGATCATGTCCCTTTTATGACCGGAAATGTGTGGCTGTTAAAGGCAAAAGGTTGGGTCAAAAAGATTGTGAATTATGTTAAAATGACCGTCTCTTAAGAAAGCCTTGAAAACTAAAAAGTAGATGACCGTTTTATGCTTTGCCCAGCCGACCTTTGCCGGACATTATACAAATGTCCGGAATATATGACCGTTTTGGAAGCCTTGATCATAAACCCATACAGAAAAGAGGGGCATTGTATATGGGAAATCTCATTTCTTTCTAGGTCAAACCAAACTAACTTTTCGCATTTACACTTTTCTCTTCAAAAATTAATCAAGATACATTAAAGCCCATTGTTCAAAAAGCCAAAAAAATTCCAGAAATACATGGTACGCAATTGCAATCAATAACCAATCGTAGACTAAAAGGATGAGCATCATCCAAGTTGTTCCAGTACTTCCCAAATTTCATATAACATTCCGGTTAACCTGGAATTTTGAAATATCTTTTTCTGGAAATAATAGCATCCACATCCATAACAAAATGGATTAAAGAATTATTTGACCAGATAACAGAGAATATCTTAAACAAGCATTTGCAATCATTCCAGTGGTTGAAAACTAAGTCAAGTATGTTAAATTGTCTTCATTGAACATCTTGACATTAAGAATGCACAGAGCCAAAAACCTGGAAAGCTGAAATGCACAAACAAGGTACATATTTGTCATTTGTAGGAGTGATGAATACATGCAACAAAAAAGTTATATCATAAAGCAATACATGTTTGAGTGGTTATACAGCTGTTTTACACATTTTGTTTTCACATCTTCAGAAACTAACCTTGCTTTTCCTTGGTCATTATTTCTTTTGGCTGGTGATAATTCTCCATTCACCAGTGCTGGTTGTGCTCCTTCAGCTTCATTCTCTGTATTATGAGCCTGAAGTCCCAGTAATGATCTTACTCGAGCTGATCTCACATCAATGATTGTATCCGTGTATCCAATTTCTTGTAAATATCTGCAAACATCCAGCATTCACATTATAAATCAAAATTCATATCATTTTATAGAATTATTGTTTGGTTGATTTAGTTTCAACTTTTGTTTTATTTCATGGATAAGTAATTGAGGACAACTTGTGAGAAGTTCATTCTTTATCAGTTTCATTTTCATTTTGAAAGGTAGGATTGACAAAGATATGAGAAATTTCAAACAACTTGGGAAGTCATTACTATTTTGAGTATATTATTTTGTGTTGGGTGGTATATCAAATTTCATGGATTTTGTACACAGAAAAAAATGAGGATATGGTTGTTCATGAAGCCCATCAGTATGTGGATTAAAAGAAACAAAAAGATTGTAAAAAATGCATAGAATAATTACTTCAAATGTACTTTCTAAAGGTAGCAAAATGCTACACAAGATTCAAACTGTCACTCTTACTCGAAGAGATGACTAATTCAGCAAAAGGAGTAGGTCACTATAACAAGGTGTTAAGGCTTGTAGTAAATAAATAAATAGGTAACAAAAATTATGTCACTCTCACATATATTTAATGGTTCATTGACTCTTGATTTATTTTCAACCGAGTTCAGATCTCAGATAGTAAATGACCTACAAGCATAAAACCTGGGATTAAGGGAGCACCTTGGAACATAAAGCAGCCTCAAATAAAAACTGGTCATTGACCCTTTCAGAGGTAATAACTATAAGTGAATAAAAGTAAGGCAGTATGACATATATATTTTAAGCTTCATTGATTCCAATTAAGTATAAGAACATTTTTTCAGATCTACAGTGACTATATATTGTTTTTTTTTGCACTGTTTCAAATCTATCCAATTAGGTTTAGCAAGCTAGGGGACATAGAGAATCATGTTATTGTAAAGTACTTACTTTTTATGAATTCTTTTTTTGTTTGTTTCAATTTCATATTTTAGTAAAAATAGACTGCTGCAAAATCAATGCATATGACCTTGAACAACTAAATACTTTTAGCCAAAAAGCTACATCTAATACTCTTTATGATAATTAAGGGGCATTGCACTGGAACTAAACATGCAAATAAGTATCATTTGATCTGTGTTTAATAGTCTCCAAATTATTCAAATGGTAAAGTCTTCAACCTTATTTTCATAATATATTCTTTTAACACAATTAATAAAATTCTTTACATGATTGTTTTGGTTAATAACAAATGAACTTACTGCCTCAGTAAATGTCTTCCTTGTCGCCATGATACATTACTGTTAGATGTTGTCATCTCGTTTTGCTCAGGTTCATCTAATACACAAAAGAAAAGAAATACAATACATTAGTTTATATAAGGCTTCCATGCTTGATAACATATGCCTAAACTGCAAAAACTTGAAAACTGATTTTAGTGTGACCTCAAAGATGACAACCAGATTTTATAACATTACATTTTGTAACTTTGGACTGAATCTCTTTTTCTTGTAAATTTCATGTGCCAAATTATCCATTATCCATATTAATTTTTGTATAAAAGATTGCCCTTTTTGTCATTTCCGCTTTTCAGATAGACATACAACTCTTATAATGAATTATTTCAGAGAGTACCCTTTTAAAAAGACAACAGGTAAATGGTTAAACACTTTATTCATGTTATTAGATCACTGATTATACTTTTGTAAATCATACTAATTATGAAATTTAATTATATATTTCTAAGTGCAACAATTCTTTCAATGTTTTTATTCTATTCCTGTTACAGGCAAAATTGAATTAATTTATTTTCATGATAATAGTTACCATCTTTCTTTTCTAGTGCTGGAGGTTTCAAATCATCCTGATTGATTTCTGTTCCATATTTTAACTTGTGGTATTTTGACCTGAAATAATAGAATTAAACATCATAGTGAAAAGCAAATGCTTTTAATGTTTATAATTTGTCATGGATAATTTTGGGAAAAATTCCAAATAAATACTCAGGACTTGGACTCAATGATTTCAAGATTACTCTTTTTCTTATACAAATTTTTCAGCAATTACCATTTATAACCAGTCAGCAGATAATATGACAACATTTCTGAAGTATCCAGTTATATGTGCATCTCTTCTATTAAAGTGTTTTTGCCTGTCAAAAACTGAAATAACAAAAAAAGTAAGTCTTTTATCAGTAAAATATGGGAAAATTTTGAAACTAATACTGTCTGCAGATTAAGAAGCATCTGTCAAAGTTTTGTAAAATTCAATGAAGGTTTTACAAAGTCATTGATGTCTGGAAAACTTTAACATTAGACTTTAGACTGCATCTTAACTTCACAAGAGTCCATTAATAAGTAAATATGGCACAGAATTTATTTTTTTTTTTTTAATTCTTTAGCCTGAAAATGTTGATGACTCTGCAAGTGGAATGTAGAAAAGCTTTCTCAACAGATGCAACAAAATAAGATTGTTTCTGGACACATTGGTTAAGCATTGGATTGATGACCATTTGTAAGAAACCTTTTAAAGACTGTAAGGAAATTCACAGGAGCCCATGGCCAGTAAAATTTGAGCTGGACTACAAATTTTTCCCACGTTTTCATGATTAAATAACACTGGGCCACCAAAACTATTGGCTGTTCTCCCACTTGAAAATTTAAGTTTTCCATTCTGCTTTACAGCATTTGTTATTTTGACAGTTATTTCAATCTCCCTGTAAAATGATGTTTAGTGCCAATATTATGACACTATCTTAGTCACTTTTATTTTGACCATTATCGAAATCTCTCTGTACTGCACAATCGTGTTTTGCACCAACATTTTGACAATATTTGAGTCCCTTTTACCCTCAAAAGTCTGAAGGACTACAAACAAACATTTCCCCCCATGTAAAAATATAAAAAGGACTTCTTCAATGATTTCCTAACTACGGTTTTATACTTTCACTTTACAACCAACAATTCAAACAACAGGCAATATAGATTATCAACTTACCTTTCTTGTTTCAGGGCATATTCCAGCATTTTTATTCTTCTGACAAGATCTTGCTTTAAATTTTCTTGCCCTTTTCTTTCTCCTTGTAAAAATGCAATTCTCGCCTAAAATATAAATGTAAATATATGTTCATAGAGAGAAATATTTTTGTCAAGTGGTGACCCTAGGCTGTGTTAATTACACATTACTTGGGACTGGGTATTTCATTAATTAACTTTTGATTTAAGTCTACAAAATGTATAATACCAAATTCATGTTAGCAATATACTAAACAGGATTGGTGTTCTAAATTTTATCCAAAGTAGAATTTTAATCCAAAAGATTACTATAGCAACCTTCTCTGAAAGCATTGAAATTCATCTACCAAAAGAATCAGAATAAATATCAGATCCTTTTTCACCTCCTTATTCTGCAAAAAATGCATAATTTTTTAATAGTGTTCAAGCAATTTGGATTGGGGGTATAATAATAATTTTTTTGTACATTTCAACTTTCTCACAAAACATAGGCTTGAGAGCTCTTACATTATTATTTAGATAAATTAATATTACCAAAGGGTAGATTGGGGTCATACCACTAAGACCAAAAATAAGAATAGTGTGTTTCCATACACCCGAAAGACTAAAACTTTCATTCCATTTTTTTTTTTTCATTACAAATTGGTAACTTGAGGGTGTGATTGGAAAAAAATTCTTTCATGTTACATGTTCCAATAAAATGCTTCGCTGAGTGCAGCCTGATACGACCGCAGAAGTCGAACCCTGAACAGTTGGGGCAAATTTGGGCACAATATTCAAGCTTGACTGTCTGAATTTGGATTGTGATCAAATTTCTGACATGATATAGGTTTCTGACACAAAATAAATGTGGTCAAAGATCTTATAAATCCATTGCGCAATACTGTGCAATTGAAGATGTCTTCTTGAAACTTTTCAAAAACTAGAAATTTAAAAATAAAAAAAAAAAAAAAATATGAATCCCTTAAAAAAATTGGGGAAAAACCCCCCCCCCCCCTCAATTTTTTGAAACCCCCCTTGGAGCAATAACCAAAAAACACAATCCCAGCCTTTCCTTTGTAGTATGGAACCTTGCAGTACAATTTCAGAGAGATCCATACACTTACACACAAGTTATTGTCTGGAAACTAGAAAAATGCTTGTTTTTGGCCCCTTTATATACCTACGTTTGGGGCAATTAACCCCAAACTCAATCCCAGCCTACCCTTTGTTATATGGAACCTTGCGGTACAATGTCAGAGAGATCCATACACTTACACACAAGTTATTGTCTGGAAACTAGAAAAATGCTTGTTTTTGGCCCCTTTTTGGCCCTTAATTCCTAAACTGTTGGCCCCATAACCCCTAAAATAAATCCCAACCTTCTAATTGTGGTATTAAACATTGTGGAACAATTTCAGAGCAATTGAAATACTTATACACAAGTTATTATCCTGAAACTAGAAAAATGCTTGTTTTGGGCCCCTTTAGGGCCCCTAATTCCTAAACGTTTGGGACCATCATCCCCAACCTTCCTTTTGTGGTATTGAACCTTCTTAAAAAAATTCATAGAGATCCATTCACTTAAACTAAAGTTATTGTCCGGAAACCAATGTGTCTTCGGACGACGACGACATCATACCATTATACAATCCCAAAAAAATGTTTGCGGTCGTATAAAAATTGCTACGATCAGAAAAAAGCTCTTCATTTAACATATCCTAAAATCCTCTGGGTCTAATTGGCGCTATTCATGAAAGTGTTTTATTTATTTCATCGTGAATGATAATAATCAAATGGCTGGGTTACAACTAGTGTGCTCGCCTTTAGATTGATGAAATGCAATTATTTAACTGATATACAAGTGATCATAAGTTTCACACTCAAAAACATTTGAACAACAATTTGAAGAACTTCATGATGAGATTGAAATTAGAGTTGTTCTGATGATCGGAATAAGTCAGAAATCAGTTGGTAGGGCTGGGCGAGGGCTACAATCGATTGGGATTTTGTTAAATTGATTGTCGTTAAAAGTTTCTGGACTTATAGCAATTCATTTCCCGTCCATTTCCGGTTTGCATTTCACATGCGCAGTCAAACAAATGTAACAAAAAGAATTAGTAGATGACAATAGCAATGTCAAACATCCTATCATCAAAGACATAAACTATTTCTTTCTTTAGAAATGTGGTGAAAGCATTGACTTTACAGATTGGTCATGTGATATTTAAAATAAATAACTTTTGGTATTTGTAACTCGGTATTTGTAACTGGAGTGTGTACATCAAATCATATATAGATGCATGCAGCGAATTCTAGACAGTTCGGTACCCAGACAAATCGGCATCAGGACAAATCGGCACCCGAGAAAGACACTTCGGCACCCAGACAACTGGCACCTAGACAAATCGGCATCTAACATAGACAAATCGGCACCTTATAAAGATAAAATCAATTATTTTATCCTTGATCAAAATATAGTGAACCAAACATTAAAGTTACCTGGCACTGATATATGTATGTGGGTATGAACTCAATTTACAAATTAAGTGTTAATATAGTGATTATGTTTGACTGTTTTTACAAATTACCAATTTATTTCCTGCACTATTTATGACATTATTGTCAATATTGTATATGGTATCTTCGAAGAAGTATCTTATTCTTTTTGTTTTTTTTTATTTGTGAAGACTGTATTGCAGCTTAGTCATTTGGATAGCTGTCTTGTCAACTTATTCGTAGATCTAATTTTGTTGAACATTTTTGTCACTTAAAGTTTCCCTTCATCTATTATACTTTCTTAAAAAAAACTTGAAAATTTAATTTTAAAAAAAAATGCCTTTCAAGCCAATAACTCCTATAAGGGATAAATTTACAGTTTCGGTCAGTTAACTTAGTTAACTTAGTTGAAGATCTCAACTTACTGGCCATTTTTGCTGTTCAAAATTTCTCTTTATCAGCATTTAAGATAATAATAAAAAAATACAACAACAACAAAAAACAGAGATATTTCGTAAAATTTATAATTCCAGATGCAATAACTGCAAATAGGGTTGTCCAATTGGTTTGAAAAATTACCTGGAAGATAAATCTTAACATGCTTATCATTTTTATCCTTATAAAAATAAAGAGATGAGGTATGATTGCCAATGAGACAACTATCCACCAAAGTTCAAATAAAGTGGACGTAAGCAATTATAGGCAACCGTACGGCCTTCAACAATGTAAATGTAAGCAGCCATGCTCAGTTAATTGTAGATATTAAATCAGATACCTCATGTAGGGAGAATGTAGCAATTCACTCTTTCATGGTGCCATCAGTTGTATTTTGGAAGGCAACATTTTTTAAAAATTTTTAAAAACTTTTATTTAAAACGGCCTCTATTACAAAACGGAGATTGCAGTACTTTCTAACTGAAGTCATAAAAAAATGGGTCTTCATACGCTCTTATTTTTTTAGATTATAATCCCAACTAGTGTTAATCCCGAATAACCGTAAAAATTAAGGCCCAATCCTAAATTCCCGGTATGATAATAGAACCTATATACAGTATTTATTGTTAACATGATTTCGTTCAAATAATGCATGAAATATTTGGCACTGGATGTTATTTCTCTTGTTCGTGTGTCTTTAGTGATGTTCGAAACCTAAAATTTATTAGAAACCCGGAAAACCAGTTTTTGATTTGAAGAGCTTTTAAAATATCAGAACTGTTGAAAAAAAGGGAAGTCAATTCTGCTGAAAGCCCGCCTTCGGATTAATATAAAAGGCATCATCGGAGTTTATTAGCAACACATAATTTACATAGTAAACGATTAATTATACTGCACTAGAATTATATGTATGTTCGCGCTTAATGAGCATGAAATACTTGCAACTGGACAATAAGCAAATTCATTCAAAAGTTAATTCATATGTTACATATTAAATTTGCAATTATGATAATCATTAACAACAGGCATTGAACAAACTAATGCTAATAAATTACTACCTCATCAACTGTTTCCCCATCATAGAATTGCCGTAAACGTTATTGATTTTATTTAGGACATACATGTATTGGCGCTAAAAGACGTGAGACGTTCTGACGTTTAACAGTGGACACGATTTGGCGAATAATTATTATCGGACACGTTTGGGGGTTTTGAAATCGGACACGTTTGGGCCATATTGAATATTACGGACACGTTTGGGGGAATCTGACACGTTTGGGGGGATGGACACATTTGGGAGTGTTACATATGTTTCTGGGTTTTTACTCATTATGGCTTGCACGCGCTTTTATGTTTATGGGTTTTAATATTAAAACAATAAAATATAGTTTTCAGGTATTGTGTTGTCTTTACAGATGTAAGGATCAAACGAGAACACAAGCTGAAACACAAGCTATACACTTTTGATCTCTCATTTGTCTCTATTGAGAAATTATCAGATTTATACAAAAAATACTGATTAACCCTTTGAGCGCCGAGACGTTGTTTTTTCACATTGTTACGTTGCCATACATATTTGGATGACGTTACTATAAACGATACGTAACGTAACGTCAACACATTACCTACAAGCACATGCACGTTATCCTCCTTATTCGATTTATAAGACATCTCGTACATTCGGGGAAATTTCCAACATCCTCGGGACAAACCTTTAAACTTGAGTACACGTAGCGGACCTTGCGTATATTCAGTGATTTTTATATGTTCGCGTTTGTAATCGAAGTTATTTTATTTCATTTCTATTTCTTTTTCTGGAATACTATAAAAAAAAAAACGACAATATGGAAATAAATGAGGTTTTTATGACACGATAAATATTACAAACAATAAAGATATATTGAAGAAAATATAGCTCAATTACTGTATCTTGATATAAAGGACCATGCAAGATTTGATATCATCAAGGGATTTAAAAGACGAGTAGTGTTCTCAGTTTCTTCATTGTTGGCGTCGGTCTGGTTTATTTTTTAAAGCACCATCGATGTAGAGTCCGACTTAACACTTTGCACATCGCCACAAAAATCGGGATACTAGTATATAAAACATTGTAATGATTTAACCACCAAAGATTCAACTGATTGAGCAATAAGTCGAATGACAACTACGTTCAGCGACAAATATTTCATGAATATTCACAATAATTACTTATCTTTTTTCTGATAATGTATAATCTGAAATAAGTTTACTTTAACGTTACAATTGTGTGACTTATCCTTCATTTTGATTTGCCGATTTGGTTTTGAGGATTGTCAATGGTCTGACTAAACCAGTAGTAGTTAACTTTTAACATCAGTTTTGCTTCTTTTTTCCTTTTTTCATATAGCGCGCCTTAACTGATCTTTTACTTTCTTTTTTTTTTTTTTGGTATTCAAGTCAATATTTTACATGTCAAAGGCATGCGAAGTTCCATTAATTTCGCCAAATCTTTATATTTTATGCAACATTTGATGTCTAAATTTGTAAATTTGATGTTCATCTGTGATTCAAACTGTCTTGACCCTTTTATGGAATAAAATTAAGCCGATTTTTACAGATAATATTTAAGTGTTTTGAACTTAAGTTCAGTAAAGAACAATTATGGGTACAGGTTTAAGAAATCCTTTGCTGTGTTAAATACCTGTCCGACTTAAATCAGTTTTGTCATTAAATGAGGCCTGTTGATACAATTATTTGGTGTATAGCGTGTGTAAAAATGTGCACCTTACCTCTAAAAAAATTGTTTTCAACCACAAAAATTCAATATATATTTGGGGCTTTTAGGGTTATTCTTGTATGACAGAACCATGTCAGTTATTTTCCTTCAAACCTATAATGGTTTCGGCAGTGAAATGATGTTTTTATATACGTTTTTAATGGTTTGTGGGATCTGTTAAAAAGCGACAAAAATGTTGTTATGGCGCCGAAAGGGTTAATGCATAACTACAATTAATTATGATTTAATTAAATGATGTTTATTCAAACACCATTATATCTAACAATCAATTATGATTTAATTAAATGATGTTTTTCTATTCATACACAATCCTTTAGGATTTAATTAAATGATGATTTCAAATTTTGTTATTGCATATTTTATCAACGGATTATAATATTACGGTAACAATTCTTTTATGTTTCCTAATATATATATTTAAAAAAATGAGGTGCCGAATTGTCTTGGTCCCGAAATGTCCAAAATGGATGCCGAAATGTCTTCGGACTTGGGTGCCGATTTGTCTGGGTGCCGAAATGTCTTGTTACCACATGCAGCCACATTGTAAATGTTTTATGCATAAATTCCATATCTGCAGTTTTATTCGTTCATGTTTGATCTTTTGTTATTTTATCCGATAATCGGAACACCACTCATTCATTGAAAACAAAAAGGTACCAACCCTATTTTTTAAGGCCAAACAACTGGAAACACACCTATTTAATTATTTGACATAATGTACAAATGATGTACTGAAAGACCTTTAAAACAACATGGCAGGCAATCATAATTAGTTTTTCATTCCTTTACAGGATATTTTTGAGTAAAAGATCATAAAGCATATAATCACAAAACTTGATTTTCGAAAAGCATGTTGATAAATAAAACAAACATGCACCAATAACCTTCAGCTACGTGATCTCTTATAGTAGCACCAGCCACGTTAAAGAGTTTTCATAAAAACCTTGCAAGAATTGTAGTGAGCGCACTATCATTGTATCAAGAATGATAAGACAGAAAAACAGTATTTCTATATCCCTGCACTGGGGACAATAACATAAGCATGAGCTCTTTATAAACAACAAAGTGTGTTGTGAGAGCAATGTTGAGAGAACACCATTATGTGTTTGCTTACTCCCAAACAGGGAAGCATTAAAACGAGACTTCACATGAGTAGTGCAATGCTTCTATGAAAGACCACTAATGGCACTGTCACAGTGAATAAGTGAATCAGATGTCAAATTTGGCCGCCATATTGATTCCAGCAAAATGGCGTCCTGGGATATATGATATTTATACGGATGTTTGCATGAGATCTGTTTAATAACAACCATAACTTAACCATTATCTGATAGTTAAAAGATTAAAGGTTTGATAAATTGCGTCAAATGCTTTTTTGCTTAGTGCTCACTTGGAGTTCTGCACGTTCAACTTCCCATTGCGATCTCTCCATCTCGAAACGGGACCATTCTGTTTGCAAGAAATGCAATATTCCAGGCATAGAATACTGTGGCCGTTGAATAGATTCATCTTGCTGTTTAGTCATCATGCCTATTGCTCCGGAAACAGGGCCCAGTGACCCTCCGTTTTGTGGTCCTTCACTATCGTTAATCATTATTTCAGAGGATCGCCATTTTCTTCATTTTTATTATGATAGGTGTCGCTTCAGCTGTCAGTGACGCAAAATTTGCATTCGGGAATCGTCTGGACTTTTCTTTCCTATCAATGGAAATCATGTTGGTAAAAAAAAATCATTACCCCACCCGAAAAAGCCTCTGCAGACAAAAAACTCTAAACAGACCAAAACAGTACTTTTAAACTGAATACATACTTATTTTGTGAAATACTTTACAAAATAATAATTTATTGTCAATTAATCGATCCCAAAGAGTATGAATTAAATCAATAATTATCAATGATTCATACAAAATTATATTAATATTGTTACTTAGATATATAATAACATAATGAAACAATATTTATAGTAATATGAACTTGGAAAAAAGAAGCAAGGAGTAAACAAATTTGCCATTTAAGGCGTTGAGTTATTTTGGGTGATGATGGAATCACTGTTGGTATATATCTCAACTCCTTTTTTAATGTAGTGGTGTCATAATCAGATATATAGACAAATTTTTCGAGTTCTTTTTCTTGAATGAGTCACGCTGGATGACCTGAAATTAATCGTTGTAAATGATGTCATTGAACAATAGAATCTTACTGTGAAGTAATAATATAAGCATTGTGATATCGGAATGTACAGGAAAATGTATGAATGTGAACGTAATATATAATAGTTGTTTGGCCTTCCCGTCAGTCATTCAGTCATTTTCGTTTCAGTTTGCTTACGCACGTTCTTTATTTCTGATTTTACCCATGCATTGATATATGGTCACATATTTATGAGAAAGATCCCTGTTGTTTAAAAGGTCATCAGGTCAAAGGTCAAGGTACTAGTTACAATAAAGAGACAGAAATTTGTACAGGCAATTGGTTTGCTGATACTAAATAAAACACTATAATTGAGATAGCAACCTTACTTGTCTTTATGGTCTCATATCAAAATAATATTTCTCAATTTTATGTTGCTATGTCTATGATCAAGGTCAAAATTGCTAATATAGATCAAAATTTGTGAAGAAATTAAGTTGGTTTGAGGATGCTGAATCAAATATTAGTTAGCCATTTGAAATCTTATTTGGAATAAAATATTCCATAAGCCATTGCACTCTTCCTCACGCAAAGTTGATCTTAGATGATTTGGCTATTTTTTAGTCCTATTTGGTCATACATAGCTCTTCACATGTTAGGTTCTCATATACAACAAAGATTTTTGTATTTTTGGGTTTGAGCGTTCCTGATAAAGATAAATCCAGTAAATCACTTGGGATGCACAAAATCACTGTTAATTTCAAAGTCACTTAATTGGAAAAGATTGATTTGTGTAAGACACAGTACTATTAATGTCTAAAATCATAACAGAAAAGAATCATACCTTATAGGAGGGTAGGAATGGGGTACCCCATATGACGAATGACAGTAAAATATTTGTTAAAATAACGTTAAGGATTAACATTTACTCCATTTGAGGCTAACGGTAGCTACAAAAAGATTTCAAAAATGGCGATAAAAAATTGAGGCTCATTTGACGGTAAAGGGCATTACTTTCCTCTTAAAGTTGAACAGAAAAATCTGTAATCAGGTCACAATTGGCTTTTCCCCTTTATATTGGGGAATGTGATGTGAGCTTTTTCACTATTAAAAGATTTTTCAATCAGAATAAATATTTTGAAAGTTCTGAACATATTTATTAATCATTTAACAAACTTAAGAATAATGTCAATTATAGAGAGTTTAACCCAAACCCATTTTATTCAAAGTCCAATAACTTGAAGCATCTAATCTGTTTTCTAATGTTATGATGACCTTTTTCCCTCATGCAGAATTTAATGTTTTCCAAATAATTGTATGCTTCACAACAGAAATTGGAACATAAAGAAAGGGTGATTATATATATATATACCATGTATATCATGCAAATATCATTAGGTCAACTGATACAATATTGAGGTCTGCACCAAGTTTCTTCAATACATGAATTCAAATTCTTGGACCATTTACTATCAAAAATTCATTTTTTTTTAATATCCTTTAACCAAAAACCTATATTAGGAAATACTCTTTTTACGTACATGTATATAAAAGGGAAACAAAAGTTCGTTTAACGACAATATGATAGTCTGATAATAGAATTTTTTACCAATGAACAGAGGGTCACAACAGTCTTGATTGTGATGTGATAATTTATGGATACAAGGGAAAGTTACTCCTGTTATGAATTGAAGAAATTTTCACTGAATACAAATTTGATGTTATTTTTTGCCATTTGTAACAAGAAAATAAGAGTTCTTGTCAGATGAACCAAACTTAACATATTTCTGTCTGAACATACAGAGGCAGAGGATCTTAAGTCCTACTGTGAATTGAAATAGATCAAGAATTTAACGTCACTTGCAATAAGAAGTATAAATTATCCTCAACAAAGTTAAATATTTTCTCTTTTAAAGGAAGAAAAACGTTTTGGAGTTAATTTTTTTATATGCAATTGCAGAAGAACTGGAAATTTATAACCTCATTGCCTTTATTTCCCACAATTACTGAATATCACAGACATTGTCAAAAGTTTTTGATGTTTTATGTCATTAGGAAAATTGTTTGACACAACAATGCAAAACTGATTGTTGTATGATGTCTATAATAAAATGATTCAATATCATCGGTCAAATGGTCACCGAATTCAAAATAGTGATGAGGTCTATGAAATGCCCACTTTTTAAATTTCCAGTCTATATAACATGTCAAACTTCATTATATCAGAGAGAAATTTTGCTTTTTGAATACAAACCAACACACAAAAGTTGACATTACTGACTATATTGAGGGTGAGGTACATATATCCCAGGTAATCCAATCCTGTCAGAGAATTGAAGAAATTGTATTTTAGTGAGGGTATTTCCTGGAGGTGACTGACAAAATTCATGTCAGTTGACATCTATATGTGATTTTTGGGGGAAATATTGGATAACAAAGTTTAAAGTATTTGTCAGAAGATGTCATTGAATCATAGTCAAAATGTTGGGAAGTGCAACTTTTGCTTGTAGACTGAAATAACCTTTCTGCCAATATATACATTTATTTGTTATTTCTGTGTTCATCTTTTTTTCTTTTGGTGATGTTGGCATCTGTTTGTCTGACCTTGACTTATGGTTTTTTGATTGTCCACTTGGTATTTTCTTTTCTTATATATTAAATAATGTTCAATATAAAGTTTATTTTTAAATTTTGATGAAATTTTAGCTCTTGTATTCTTCTTTTTAGGTACAATTATGATTAAGTTCATTTTCCTTTTCAACAAAATTGGAAAACCAAGAATTGTTAGATTTTATGACAATCCTCCAGAATCTCAAAGATTAACAGTTCAAAAAGATGTTTCGAATGCTTGCTTAGCACATTCAAAACAGGTAAAGTATCCATTTTAATACAATACATTAATAAAGAGTTTAAAAATGAATACTTTTATATACAATTTTAAAATCTGAATGTGAGACCTTGTGTTATAAAACCACTGTCTCTCAAAAGAAAAGTTAAGATACCTGATTCTCATGGAAATTAAATCAGTCACAATGCTAATGTTTAGGACAAATTTTTTACATCGTGGTGACTGTGAGGGCATTCCGATGTATTGTTGCCACAGAGATTTCTACTTGCGTTACTTTCGTTTTTGACTGGTAACTGATCTATAAATACACGGACATCATCAAGTGCAAAATAAAATATTTTTTTTAGAACATAAATTAATAATATGAAAATGTTTTGTCGTTAAAAATATATATATATAAGTAAAAAATCATTAATATCTATGCATACGTACAGAAAAATTGTGTTAACGCATGCGGAAGAATATCTCAAGAACGTTTTGCGGGAAAATATGAATGCCTACTCAAATCCAATCTATTAGAAAAATCATATTATTACAGAAGAATGTCCACCATGCACTTGCACTGCACTATTATTAGAATATTAGAATAGAATGATATCCAAATGGATAAAAATTATATTTACATGTATACAAATATTAATATACATGATATATAACAACAAACGTGGCAGTGTATACTGATTTGTATCACTACAATATAATAGTTATTACAGTGAGGTTGAATTCCCTGTCATTTATTCATCATCCACGCACGAACTTGTCTCAGAAAAAAATATATCTCTGTATATTAACCTCACTTTCAGGTATAGAGATGTGATTTTTTTTCTGAGACAAGTGCTTGTGACCATCCACAAGAACTTGCAGTCATCCGATGTTCAGTACTATAGTACTTTGATTATTTCAAGTTATTTTATATTGAACCAGTTTATAATTGAAAGTAATGTGTACATAGTTTGGTTTAGCTGAATTTTTATTTTGAATAATTTCTGGGGATGCTTCACAGATAGTTAAAGACTAGAATTGCTTTGTTTAATACAAAAAGAAAAATGTGCAGAAAATTGATATATCAATAATATTTTCTTAATTTCTATCATATTATCAAACAGTTTGGGAATACTATTTGGTCATTATGACCTATATTTTACATTAGTTGGACTCATATTAACTAGTTTTGTCAGTAAAGGATGTACCATTTTCACATATTTCATTTAAGGCAGGGAATTTCTTACTTACAAAACTTGCTAATGTTTTTAGATCTATCATTCTCAGAATGTTTGGATTTGTTAAAATTTTAGAAAATTATTTTCAGACTTCCTGAACTCAATTGCCACAAGATTATCTTTTATAAAAACATTCTATTTGGCAATACACAAAACTAGAACTAATCAATTTACCAAAACTATATTTTCTTATTTTATAGTAATATATGATTAGCAGTAAAAAAGAACACCTGATTAATCTGTATAATACATAAATGGGACAAAAGGAATTGCTAAAAATACAGCACAGTACAACATACCACATCAGGTCGACCTCATTAATTATATATTCTTTCAAGCACAATTAAAAATTGTGCATTTATCTTAAACAAGTCATCGAAGGAGCTATTAGATATGACATCAAAAACAATTTGAGAAATTGAAAATGCAGGAATCATTTTCAAATTCTTTAATATTGATGAATAGGAAATACACACAAAGCCAAGATAATAATAAACTTTAAAATCAAAATTTCAATTCCAGGAAGGAATAATAGACTATAAAGATTACATTTTAGTATACCGTCACTATGGTAACTTGGTTTTTACTGCAGGAATTACAGAAGAAGAGGTATTACAATTTTTGGAATTGTTAGTTTTTTCTTTAGAATTGAAATCTGTTATAAAATTATTAGATGCTTGTTGGGAGCATGTTGGTAACCATCTCATAAACTATTCGAATGATGCTGTTGGTATAACCATACTTTTTTTTAAGGTCATATGCTCAAGTTACATTTAAACTGAAGAAAGCTTTTGTCCTGAATGTAGAGGGCAGACTCAGCAGAGATCAAATTTAGTATTTTTAATGACTAAACAATCAATAGGTTTTTTTTACTTATAAATGGTTAGTTCCTAGTTTTGTTATTATTAATTTTTGATGAATAGAATTTTTTTAGTTCATATTTCATTGCAATATAAACAATTATACATTGCTTTATAGAATGAATTAGCTGTCCTGGAATTACTACACAATTTGGTGGAAACATTGATGAAGTATTTGAATAAAGTGGTAAGTTGTACACAGAAAAAAATCATCTCTAAAAATAACTTCATAAAAATAGAAAAAAAACTATTATAAAAGAGTTTATAACTATTCTGGGAAAGGAAGATGTGTTTTATTGGAAGGTAAGGTGTATGTTTTCCACCATTATATGTACTTTTAATCTTATAAAATTAATTGTGAGACAAACATGATTGTAACATCAATGATTTACAAAAGCAAATCATGAAACAGTTATTTATTTAGCATGAATAGCAGTTTCACTACTTTCAAGATTTTTTAAATACATGTACCGGGTATTTAAATAAAGGTTTACATTTACAAAAACTGTCTCTCATTTTTGATTTTATTTAAATTGTTTGTTAGTTTTCCATTTTTGATCAAACATGACAATTATGTATTGTAACTAGGGCCACAGTAACATCGCAAATTTCAGAAATAGACCAGAATATATTATCTTATTCATTTATCAATGAAATTAACATAATTTTGAGAGGATGGAAGGATTTTACTTTTTTGTAATGTCAGGTGCAATGTTATGCCTTTTTTCATACCTCCTACTTTGAAAAAAGCTATACCTAAGAAAATCTTAGATGAATTAGATTATTAGAAAAACTGAAGAAGGGGGGCTTTAATCTATTAATTGAAATAGTGTGGCACTGAGTATGATTTCTTTCATTTACTGATGTTTAGTAAAGTTTGCATGTGACATGATTATAGAAGTTAATATGGGTGATTTTTAATTTATTCATAGCTAAATAGTATAAATTAACTTGATGATTACTTTGTTATTTCAGTCAGAAGCAGATGTATCCTTTGATAGACATATATGATAGAAGCTTACTGAATAGACAGTTAATCTACACTCAGAGGTTCAAAATTGCTTTAAATTATAAAAAGACCAGGACCATTTGAAAGTGAAAGTCCTCCTTAAAAAAGTCAAAGGTCCTTATAAAGCATCAGTGTAAAGAATGGGAAGTCCTTGACTTCTGTAATTCAAAATTGAAAAGTCCTGTCTCTGAAAAGACAAATGTCTGACCTAGGACTGACTCAGGTACAGGTAACTCTATACACTAATGTCAGAATGACATATAAAGTAATGATCATTATTGTATATAACCTCATAAGGTATGTCCATTGCCAACATTCTTGTTAATTTGTAGTCTTAAAAACATTCTATTCTAGGTCAATGGATGCAGCACTTCTTAGTTTTCAGAATGTAAGGTTTTTCTTTCAATCTGTGATGAGGCAAGTCAACAACCTTTTTCCTGCAAAATTTTGAATATCAGTTTAAGAAGAAAATCAGTTTTAATTGTTGTTCTGTTCAGTATAAAAAAAGTTAAAAGATTCTGTGTAACATTACCATTATGTATCATATGGCTCGCAGTCTAAACAAAATACCTTTTAAAAGCAAAACTGTGCATTCCCCTTTTCATGATGTAATCAATCTTCTTTGATTCAAACAAGCTTCATCAAAGATAAGAAGTCCTACTCCATGTTATAGATTTTTCATGTCTTGCACAGGTTTGAATTTTACAACCTGCAGTTTTCCAGATCTCGGTGAAATATTAAACCAATTAACTATGACAATCTAAAATTAGATTTATGGTTCTCAGGACCACTTCATTTCTGATTTTATCATCTTTTCAATCAAATAAAAAAACGGGGAATGTGCATCTGGTTTAAAATAATTGAGAATTCTAAATTCTCATGCAACTTATGTAATGTTAGGTGCCCTTAGACAAAATAATTTTGTGAGGCCTAAGAAGATAAAGGGTTTACCTCTATCAAACTGTATTCAGTTGCTTATGTAATGATTAATTTGCTTGACAGGAGGAACCAGTAGTGTTGTTATTTATGATCCTTAACTTTTTAAACAGATTATATTAAATATGGACAAAGTTTATATGATTCTGGATGAGATGATTATTGAAGGGCACATTTCAGAAACTAATCAAAGTAGAATCCTAGCTCCATTACAATTATTGGATACAGTTAGGAAATAATCAAAAAGTAAATATGTATGGATGGTCACATCTCTGAACGCAGCAACCTAAACAGAGATTTGGTTCATTTGCATTTATTTGAGCTAACTTGGTGGGAAAAAAAACAGATTCACAAGCATGAAGGGAAACATCTCAGTATGCAAAACACTCATCTGTAATGCTTATTCTGATGGAGTGACTTAATGTGAAGCAAGGAAATAACCATTTGAGATAATAAGTAGTGAAACATCACTGAAAGTAGAAATTTGACCTATTATTTATTAACTCCATAGTTATTTTACACTAACATGATGTATACAAATGAAGAATTATGGAAAAACATCACTGAAAACAGATTAAACTATGATTATGATTTTAATGTAATTATGGACTGGATATTTGAAACCTAAAGAATGAACTGGTAAATATGTATGCAGTAGAAGTCAATTTCTGCTGTAGTAATTGGAAACTATTAAATGGCACAGTAGATCAATAAACATTAGTGGAACTATTTTTGAAAACAGCAAACTAAGCTAGAATTTTGCTCTATTGTTGTTTGATACCACACAATATAACCAGGATATAAGGAAATAGTGGACATTCACAGTTGGATAAGAGAAACAGGAATGGAGAAAAAACATATCTGAATGCAGCAAACTAGTTTAGACTTTGGTACTCTGAGTTATTGGATACAAAGGAGTTCAAAGATATATTTACATTGAAAGATTTATATACAGATATATACATACAACTTGAAGTTTTTCAATTGCAGGATAGTGCAGAGATAATTGGAGATGAAATTAGTGTCAGAAAAGACTGCATCTTATGCTCAGTAACAAAAAAATATTCTGTTTGAAAATCTGTTTAAAGTAAGAAAGTCTTGCTGGTTCCAGTTTTAGTTTTTCCAATGTAATTAGGGTTTAATAAAAATAAAAAGGGTATTCGTCTTCTTTTCAAATAATTTTTTTTAATCATTAGAATGATGTAGGGCATGTCTAGAGTTACAGTTTTTATACGACCGCAGAAAAATTTTGCGGTTGTTTATTGGTATGACATTGGCGTCGTTGTCGTCGTCGTATGAAGACACATTGGTTTTTGCACTCTAACTTTAGTTTAAGTGAATGGATCTCTATGAAATTTTACCATTAGATTCAATACCACAAAAGGAAGGTTGGGATTGATTTTGGGAGTTATGGTACCAACAGTTAAGGAATTAGGGACCAAAAAGGGGCCAAAAATAAGCATTTTTGTAACTTCCAGACATAACTTGTGTGTTAGTTTATGAATCTCTCTGACATTGTACCACAAGGTTCCACATCACAAAGGGAATGCTAGGATTGATTTTGGGGGTAATTGCCTCAAAATTTTAGGAATTAGGGGCCAAAAAACGGACAAAAAACAAGCATTTTTCTAGTTTCATGACAATAACTTGTGTGTAAGTGTATGGATCTTTCTGAAATTATACTACAAGGTCCCATATCACAAAGGGAAAGCTGGAATTGAGTTTGGGGGTAATTGCCCAAAATGTTTAGGAATAAGGGGCCAAAAAGGGGCCAAAAATTAGCATTTTTCTAGTTTCCAGACAATAACTTGTGTTCAAGTGTATGGATCTCTCTGAAATTGTACTGCAAGGTACCATACCATTAAGGGAAGGCTGGGGTTGATTTTGGGGGTAATTGCCTCAAAACTTTAGGAATTAGGGGCCAAAAAGGGGCAAAAAACAAGCATTTTTCAAGTTTCAGGACAATAACTTGTGTGTAAATGTATGGATCTTTATGAAATTGTACTACAAGGTTCCATATCACAAAGGGAAAGCTGGGTTTGAGTTTGGGGGTAATTGCCCTAAACATTTAGGAATTAGGGGCCAAAAAGAGGCCTAAAAACAAGCATTTTTCTAGTTTCCAGACCATTCTTGTGTTCAAGTGTATGGATCTCTCTGAAATTGTACTGCAAGGTACCATACCACAAAGGGAAGGCTGGGATTGAGTTTGGGGGTGATGAATCATAAGGGGGTTCAAAAAATTTCGGGGGGGGGGGATTTTTTTTTCCTTTTTTTCCTTTTATTTTTCTTTAAAATTTTCCATTTTAAGTTGGTTATTTTTGATTTATATATAAAAGCAAATAATAATGATATGGTTTGATTTCATCAAAAATTGAAATATTGGGGTTCTTTGATATGCTGAATCTAACCATGTATTTAGATTATTAATTTTTGGTCCCATTTTCAAATTGGTCTACATTAAGGTCCAAAGGGTCCAAAATTAAACTTAGTTTGATTTTAACAAAAATTGAATTCTTGGGGTTCTTAAATATGCTGAATCTAACCGTGTATGTATTTAGATTTTGGATATTGGACCATAATAGGTAAATTAAAAAATTTTAAGTTCTTAGACCACATTCATTCTGTGTCAGAAACCTATGCTGTGTTAAATATTTAATCACAATCCAAATTCAGAGCTGTATCAAGCTTGAATGTTGTGTCCATACTTGCCCCAACTGTTCAGGGTTCGACCTCTGCGGTCGTATCAAGCTGCGCCCAGCGGAGCATTTTATTTAATTTTCCATTTTAAATTGGTTATTTCTGATTTATATATAAAAGCAAATAATAATGATATGGTTTAAATAGGTAAATTAAAAAAATTTAAGTTCTTAGACCACATTCATTCTGTGTCAGAAACCTATGCTGTGTCAAATATTTAATCACAATTCAAATTCAGTGCTGTAGCAAGCTTGAATGTTGTGTCCATACTTGCCCCAACTGTTCAGGGTTCGACCTCTGCGGTAGTATCAAGCTGCGTGCAGCGGAGCATTTTATTTATTTATACTTGTAAACTTTCATGGCATTTTAGTAGCGGAGAATGTTTTTCTTTGGCTTTGCATTGTTGAAAATAATTAACACATTTTGCTGACATTTTTCAACATTTGATTACATCTCCAGATTTTGAGTGTAAATAGATTAACACCTAGAACAAATAAATCTTAATAATATTATTAAAGGTCATTTTCATGATTCCAGTAAAATTCATTACTACATCACCTTAGTGTCAATTGGAATATATTTATTGATATGAAAAAATTACAATATATTTTTAGCTCATCTGGCCCTATTTAACCTACCTCAAACCAAAACTTTAATCTGATATGAGGCAGATAAAAGGGATAACAGACAGACAAGTGGATGGACACATAGACAAAAAAAGGGGCAAAAATGCTCTGAATAATGATAAAGATCCACTACTTTCTATCTCTATCAAATTATCAGATGACTTAAGGAGTTATTCCTTTAAAGACAATTTTTGATTAATTTTCAAAGTTTTAACCTTACATCTCAAAAACTAAAATATATAGGTAAAAATTTGAAGCAGCAAATATAATCAGCAATACCAGATCTACAAAAATGCCAATATGACTGAAACCATTGGATGACTCCATATAGAAGTAATTCCCATTAAATAATGGTTTTTGACTAATTTCCAGTATTTGCCTATTATCTAGAATATTATAATTGATAGGTAGTAACTATTGACGGCAACAAATATTAGTAATACCAGATCTACAAAAATGCCATGACTGAAAGCATTTGATGACTCCGGCCTTAAATAATAGTTATTGAATAATTTTCCAGATTTTGCCTTTTATCTCGAAAAATTGTAAAAGATAGGTAGTAACTATTGACAGCAAAAATGATCAGAAATACAAGATCTTCCAAAATGCCAATATGACTGAAACCATTGGATGACTCCTTATAGGAGTTACTGCCCTTAAATAATGGATAATGACTAATTTTCCAGATTTTTCCTTTTACCTCAAAAATTATAATAGATAAGTAGTAACTATTGAAAGCAAAAATGATCAGTAATACAAGATCTACAAAAATGCCTATATGACTGAAACCATTGGATGACTCCTTTTATGAGTTACTGCCCTTAAATAATAGTTATTGACTAATTTTCCAGATTTTTCCTTTTATCTCAAAAAGTACCGTATGATAGATAGGTATAAACTGTTTACATTAAAAATTATTAGCAATTCATTATACAAGGTCTATTAAATGGAAAACTGTAATGACAATTTATGAGTATAGAACCATAAATTATATGGATCAATCCAAAACCATCCTTGTGCATCTAATATTGACACCTGTAGGACTTACTCTAGACATCTCATGATTTGACTGGGATCCTTGGAGAAAAGGGTTATGGAATGAGTTTACCAAATGAATAATGATTGTTTTGCTATATTATATTGCTATTTTGCCATGACATAATATTTCTTCAATAAAATCTTCAAAGATGAACTATAGAACTCACATTTAACAGCAAGATCGTGAACCTCAAGTTAAGCTTATTCAGAATAATGAACCTAAGGTCTCCAACATATAACAAAGTTTTTGAACCTTGGTGTTTAAGCTATTGATTTCAACCTTTAATGTTGTAACACATTTTGTGGTGTGAACAATTTACAAAAGTATCATTATTAAACTTTTAGCAGTGCAGATGCTTAAAATATAGATCAGATTTATGATCAGCAATTTCTGAACATTGACTGAGGGACTGTAACATTTAATTAAGTTTTGTGTCAGTGACCTATAAGATACAGATTCCTACTAATCTTCTAGTGGTAATAAACAACCAAACAGAATATTGTCATTAAACACAAAGACGGAGAAGACAGGATTTGTGATACAGACAACTCCCACTCTAGCTTGGCCTTGACCTCATAACTTTACAATGTTGCCAGGCATATTTATTCATTAGGTGCCATACTCAATTTATTTTTCTGTTGGCTTTATATGTACCCTATTTCATGATTGTTATTTCCTTTAAAGTATGTAAGACTTACTATTCTCAGATGATAGCATCATTTTCTATGGTCAAATACCTTTTATCTTATTTCTCAGATGATATCATCATTTTCTATGGTCAAATACCTTTTATCTTATTTCTCAGATGATAGCATCATTTTCTATGATCAAATACCTTTCAACTTATTTCTCAGATGATAGCATCATTTTCTATGATCAAATACCTTTTATCTTATCTCCCTTTTCAGTAAAGTTTTCAAAAACAAACCAAGTCTTTTTCACTATATCCTGACTTAATTTTCACACTGCAGTAGTCTGTTTATCACAGTAATGTTAAATGACAGTTCAACAATATTTGGCATGTTGGTTTGCTGGGATTGAGTATTTGCCACACAACCTTGACCTCATGATTTAGTGGTCGGGTTAAATTTTGTCAATTCTGATCCTGAGCTATATTACAATATAGGCCAACATTAGTATGTGGATAGGTTGTTAAGGATATATATTCTTCTGAAATAGGTCATAAGGTCTTGGCCTTGTTTTGATGCTAAGTTAGGTTAAGTTTTAGTATAAGATCTGTTTTTCAGAAACAAAACAAGATGGGTCCACATACTTGGTATGTTAGTAGATGATGTGAAGTATATGTCCAGCTGACATATCATTTGATATTGACCTCATTTCACAATAAAATGCTCCGCAGGGCGCAGCTTGATACGACCGCAGAGGTCGAACCCTGAACAGTTGGGGCAAGTATGGACACAACATTCAAGCTTGATACAGCTCTGAATTTGGATTGTGATTAAATATTTGACACAGCATAGGTTTCTGACACAGAATGAATGTGGTCTAAGAACTTAAAAATTTTAAATTGGACATTCACCTATTATGGTCCAATATCCAAAATCTAAATACATGGTTAGATTCAGCATATCAAAGAACCCCAAGAATTCAATTTTTGATGAAATCAAACAAAGTTTAATTTTGGACCCTTTTGACCTCAATGTGGACAAAGTTGATAAAGGGGCCCAAAAATCAAAAATCTAAATACATGGTTAGATTCAGCATATCAAAGAACCCCATATATTCAATTTTTGTTGAAATCAAACAAAGTTTAATTTTGGACCCCGATTTGGACCAACTTGAAAACTGGGCCCATAATCAAAAATCTAAATACATGTTTAGATTCAGCATATCAAAGAACCCTAAAAATTC